CCGTTTGTCAAGCCCTGGACACGAGCAACACATTTTATTGCTTCCTATTCCCTTCGGAGATGGCCATAATCTCAAACATACTCAGAGACCGCATGAGACATGGGCCCAATTGCTGGTGTTCTCCCTTTTCCTACCTTATCTCGGACCTTCCAAACATTCCTCAGATAAGTAAACCAGGTCACTGGCATGCCACCATGGCAACACTTACAAATCCATCGGACAGGCAGTACGGACCATGGCAGGGGACTTCTCTCCCTCTCTGTCACAGGAGATAAACAGGTTTCTACTCTCTATATCATATGACTGGCCTTTCTTTAATTTTTTTTGCTATGGGAAATATTGGCAAAATGAAGTTAAACAACAGATATATAGAATGCCCAGGGCACTGATTTTTTCCAAATAACTGCATGACAATATTAGTGATTTTAGCTGTTGAATGAAGACTGGAGCCATTACTATTAAGAGTCTGGAGATGCTCATTGCTCTTTTGACCTTGACCTTGCCTTGTTAGCAGACAATGACTGCTTTGTATACCCAAGAAATGCTCAACAATTTTTAAAAGTTCATAATTACAAAAACCAAAAGGAAAAATGGATACATTTCCCACAAATGACGACTCACATTATTTAGCTGCTTATAGAAGGGAACAGCAATTTTTAAAAAAAATTTGGAATGTCAAAGAAAAACATTTCAGAAACGTTTTGGTGAAAATATTCCCCCATTTTTTGGATTGGTTCCAATAATCCTCATTCTTGCATCTGTTATAGAATTGTGATTGGCCTTACTTGCTACTAAACTTTAGTGGTAGGTGGCAGAAAGAGAGCTGCAATTGAACTCTGCTTGTAAGTAAGGGGAATTCTATGGTGAAATCTGGGAAATAAATTGACAAGGACTCAGGGCATAGCTCTCATCTGCCAACTGTGAAATAGCAATCCACTCCAGCTCCTCCTGCTAAAACCCCCAAACTTTTCTCTTTGTCCGGCGTGAGGATCTAGGGACTCCTTGGCAGGACTTAGTGAAACATCCTATGGGAGTGGTTCTTGAATTGCCTCTTTGCCGCCCTGTACACACATTGACATGGCTGCTCAGATATGAATATAGTCACTTTTGCCTTACTCCATCCTGGTAGCTTTGACGGCAAATGTCGACATCAGGCTGTCGCTCACCTTTTCCCAAGTGCATGAGAGCCAAATGGTTACAATGATTACAGTGCCTAAAAGCCCATTAAGCTGGGCCCTAGTCCTGACTGATGGCCCATGTGGAGGTTTCAGAGAATTCAAAGCCAGGAACTTCTGGCGTTAGGTACGTATGGCAGTCCATCCCCTAGAAACGAGGGCAACTCTTCCCTCTGTACAGCCAACATTCCCGGGGCGAAGGGCACTCACCTGGGATGTGGGAGGCCACGTTTCAAGTCCCTGCTCTCCAGGACTTGGACCACTACCTCCTACACGAGTGCCGTGACACAGTCGGTTCCAGCCCACCAGTGGGTTGTGGGAAGGCTCTAGGATGGTCGCTCATGCTTTGGAGGTGGTCCTGTGCCCACTTCTCTGGGCAGCAGTAGCACAGAAGTGCCTCCGAGAAATGTGCAGAGTGGGAACAGGCTGTGGACTGGCACGCTCGCCAGCTCTGGCTGCTTCCTTTGCAGTGCTGCTACTGCTGGGGTGACCATATTTCCCTGTTGAATACGGGACACCAAGGGGGCGGGGGCTGCCAGCACTCAGGGCTTTAGCCCTGTGTGCCCACTTCTCTGGGCAGCAGTAGCACAGAAGTGCCTCCGAGAAATGTGCAGAGTGGGAACAGGCTGTGGACTGGCACGCTCGCCAGCTCTGGCTGCTTCCTTTGCAGTGCTGCTACTGCTGGGGTGACCATATTTCCCTGTTGAATACGGGACACCAAGGGGGCGGGGGCTGCCAGCACTCAGGGCTTTAGCCCTGAGCAGGGAGGGGCTGCTGGCACTCAGGGCTTTAGTCCTAAGCGGGGGGGGGGGGGGGGGCGGGGGGGG